CTAACACGAGTCTCATTAAGTGTCCAGTTTAAGGGTATTACACAGAAACATACCAAAAGAACATGAATCAAATATGCACTTTTGTTCATTTACAATAAACTCATAAAGTACATCATTCTGATTGAAGCTAAGGGCATACAAAACTGTCTAACAGTATTTGGTATCATCGTTGTTTAGTTAAAACGTTTTGGGTTGATAAATATAATTGATGAGAGAAATGTGCAATCAAATCAAACATGAGTCATTTGAGCTAGAATGATTAGGTTTTACTCTTATGGAGCAAGAAAATTCTCTACAAACAATAATTCAATACTCAAACTTTCAATTTTCGACAATCTATACTTGATGTTAATTCACCGTCCGTCGGTACATAATACAATAACCTTTCTCTCCGAGTGGGAATCACTGTTCACTGCTGTAACCTTTCGAAGAGCACTGGTGTTGTTCAGTCCTCAACTGCTCATTCATTCCTTAACAGCAGTTACAACATGATACATTCCCATAGTGAAGTGAACATCAGTTTTCAAGTGTTTAACACTGCAACCCAGGTGCGACATAGCGCTACTTCCGTTCCAAATGGTGTTGAGAGTTTCAGCTTCTGCTATTGCATCATCCTTTTTGAGATGTGCCAAGGGAGGTAAACTTTCATCTTTGTTCATAAACCCGCCGCCTATTGTTTCTGGTTCTACCTCCGAAACTAGATTATGCAGTTGGGTTCTTTAATCAAATGCTTCTCGTGCAACCCCCGCCTCCCATTAGGATATTCGATCTTGTCTTATCTGCAATTGCCAAGATAAAAAACTACCTAGCTGTTGTTTCTCTTTACAGAAAATTGAATCCAATCGGTGTCTCTCCCGATTTCATTACGCTAAACATTCTATTAAATTGTTGTTGTAACTCTAGTCATGTTCCATTCGGTTTAGCAGTTTTCAAGGAAATTATTCTGAAACGGGGTTATGGCCCCAACACTTTCACTTTCGCTTCTCTGATTAAGGAGATGTGCATGGAGAATCGGAACAATGAAGCTGCTCAGATCTTCCAAAAAAAATGATTGAGCAGGGCTGCATGCCCACCGTAATCACATACGGGACTTTGATTAATGGATTATGTAGGTCAGGAAACAAAGCCCTAGCACTGAATTTGCACAGAGAAATGGTGGTAGGTTTAAAACTAACGTAGTTATGTACAATTTGGTTATTGATGGCCTTTGTAAAGATGGTTCTATAGATGAGGCTAAGGAACTCTTTGCGGCGATGATGGTTTCATAGATGAGGCAGGAACTCTTTGCGGCAATGGAACTGTTTAAAACTCTCGAGTGTACTGCATTTGAACCAAGTATTAAGATATACAACTGCCTAATACATGGAATGTGCAAAGCAGGAATGCTTGAAGTTGCTAAAACGGTCCATCAGTTAACGCCACCTCTCCTCTGTCGTTCAACTCAAATTGAAGAGAAAGAGGAATAGGGTAAAAGACAGGAAATAAAAGGGTGTCGTTAGTTTTGACATTATAAAATTATTTAAACTGTACTTGATCTCAGGTGATGGCCCTGACTGACCGTGAGTTAAAGCTAAGTATCAGATTTCTGCAAATTAAAAATTCGAATACATATTTTAAAGTTAAGGGACCAAATTGTCATTCAAACCAAAACAACAGATTACTAATGGAGAATTTTCTTATATATTTAAATAAAAATAATAATGATATCAAATATAATCAGAAATTACAAGTTTCTTTTATGAAAGAATGAAAGATAGAAAGCTTGCAGTATTAATATTCAATGTTGGAGAGGTCGCATTTCAATTATAGGACTTAAATAAATCATGAACCTCCGTGGTGTGAAACCATAGTTCTCCAATAACGAAACTAAATTATTCATTGAAGAGCATTAAAAGGTGCCAACCCACTAAGTGATTCTAGGTGTCAAGCTCTCATGAGAAGGCACCACTCATGCTTTACATTATGATAGAGAATTTGGTAGGTAGATTGGTATGTGGTCGTAGTTTTTTTGTACCATTAGCTAAGTATGTTTTGCACCAAAAGGCTAGCCCTCATGAGATGCGTAGGCTTAAAGGCTTCTTCTTTATAAAGTATGGAGGGGGTGAAGTGTGAATGACTGGACCAATTCGCATGCAAAGCTTTCATGATAGACTTCAAGTCAAAAGTGGGAGACTCCTTTTATTTTATTCTTAGTTTAATTTCAAAAATTTCATGGAGAAGGCCATCACCACTATACCACCGCGGCAACACCACTATCCACATACACTCGGTACCAGCCTTCTGAATGATTGGGAGAAGAATCTACTGTATGGTCTGAAAGGTGCCTATAAATAGAGACCTAGCTGCGGCCATTTTGCTCATCGTTCTTTGCCAACTCGGATTCAACAATAATCCTGTTAAACCCATTTGAGTTTTAGAGATGGTGAGTTCAAGAGTTACAGGTTTTGCATTCTTGGTATTGCTCCTTGCGGAGCTCTCCTTTGCTGCAAGATATATCCAGGGCAGTGGAGGTGGAGGTGGAGGTGGAGGTGGAGGTGGAGGTGGAGGAGGAGCTGTTGACAGCTCCGCCGTTGGCTCAGGATCTGGTTATGGGTCTGGATATGGTTCTGGGAGTGGTTCGGGGTATGGTGGTGCACAAGGAGGAGGATATGGTAGTGGAGGAGGTGGTGGAGGTGGTGGTGGCTCTGGTTATGGGTCTGGAGCTGGTAGTGGTTCAGGGTATGGGTCTGGTAGTGGGTCGGGGTATGGTTCTGGCGAAGGCTATGGTAAAGGTGGTGGTGGAGGTGGTGGAGGCGGTAGTGGCGGAGGAGGAGGTGGCGGCTCCGGATATGGGTCAGGAAGTGGCAGTGGTTCTGGTTATGGATATGGTTCCGGAAGTGGTAGTGGCTCAGGATCTGGCAAAGGTGGAGGAGGAGGAGGTGGGGGAGGAGGTGGTGGTGGTGGAGGTGGTGGCAGTGGTAGTGGTTCTGGCTATGGCAGTGGCTCTGGCCATGGATCAGGATATGGTGGTGGAGAATCTCCTTAGACATAAACTCCCTACATCATCTTTGCTATATGTCTCCTTATTTATCTTCTTAGCCTAGGTGTGAGCTCTCTCTATCTCTCTCTCTTGCTGGCTCTCTGTGTGTGTGTCTCAGTGTGTGTATGTTGCTATAAATAAATTGAAATATATGCATGGCTTTATGTATCTGCCAGTACAATAAGAGTGTATTTACCTATTTGCTTTAGCTCGATGCATGCCATGGTTTGTTTAAAAGTTCAGAACTGTTAGATACAGAGTACATTTAAGTAAGCACACAATCAGTATGCAACATCTATCACAAACTAGATCTCAGTCCATTTTTGTGATGCTATTACTTAAGCATAGTTGTCAGATATGTGTTACACATTGATTGTGTGTTTCTCTTAGTAAGTGTGCTCATTTGGTGTATCTACTCTACTACATCTCGAGCAGTTTTTCACCAATCTGTTCAATGTCATCTCTATCATTTTTGGATTCTGAATCAGCAATCCATAATATGACTAAATGCACCAAAAAATAAAAAACTTTTGCTCCGGAGGAAACAGTCCTTTTCATGGAGAATGATAAGGCCTCCTACATATTATTGAAAATTTTAACCTTTTATAATGATATCGGATGAGGTGGCTCTAACGAGTCCCGATGAGGTAGGCATGGCATTGTAAGCAAGTTAAATGAGCACTTTCAAATTTTTTGACACCTTCTCCTTGAAATACCCCTAACCTACTCTTGAAAAAGATTAAAGACAACTTTTAACAATTGTCAAAATATTTATAAAGTATTCATTGAATGTGCTTCCTATATTCTGTCTACTGGATCCGGTCCCTACTCTAACATTCATGTGCCAGGAAAGTAACAGTCCCTCTTTTTCAATAGTAGGGAAAATAAACCATTGGTATTGAGTCTATTGACTATTACACATCATCGGGGATTAAGGGAGAGCAAATCCGCCCCCCACAACGTCCCACAGCACACTCCTACCATGTATTGGGAACATCTCCCGATGATAATACCAAAAATGATGATGTCATCATCATCAAGAAATATTCACAATACACGGCGGGAATGTGCTGTGAGATATTATAGGGGGCTGATTTTAACTCAGATTAAGGGGTGGATGGAACACAGCAGGGTGCAGTTAACTTGTGGGTTTGATCCGAGCCTTTATACTTGGAGGGATGCCGAATGACGAGGTCATTGACCTCTTACTACAACTAAAGAAGTAAAGAACCAGTAAATTGATAATACCATCATGAGGATTTGCTACACACTTATTTGAAACTTTTATAGCAGAATAACGTTGAGGTCTTGAGGATATAAATTATTCTTTCTAACCCTTGAGCAGTTTGTCTCTCTAATCTAACGCCTATCTAACAAAAGGAAGTTTACGTATAAAATATATATATATATATATATATATATATATATCTAACAGAAGGAAGCCGTCATTGCTATCAGGGGTGTCAATTGGACTCTATTTGGTACAATCTGATCCAGTTCAATATGAATTTATTTACAAATGGATCAGACCCAATTTAGTTCAAATTTAATACAAACCCAATCCAATCCAATTCATTAAAATGTAAATGGACTGGATTGGATCCAACTCAATCCAAACTGAATGAAAAGTATCAAAATTTTTTATATAATCCAACAATCATGCTAGTAGAATTTCAAATTAAAATTACAAAAATATATTAGAATAAAGAAAATCTAGAAAATTAAAACCAAGGTTTTTAAAATCGGACTGGACAAGGAATCGTTCTGGGGTCTGGTTCTTGGGTCGAACGGTCCAACCATCCGGTTTGAATGGACAAGCCTGCTCTGACAAAAGAATAAAAAAAATAGAAAAACCCAAAAATAGCCAAAAACCGTTCCCGGGTCGAATAGTTCAACTGCCCGGATTAGTGGTTCGCTGACCAAGTCAACGGTTTTTTGCCAAATAATGGTTTTAGGGTAAAACGGAACTGATCAGGTGACTGGTTCCCGATTTTTTTTGGTCCAACCGTCTGACTTAATCCGGTTTTATAAACAATGGTTAAAATCAAAACAGCTTTACAAAATGTTTTTCTTTAATTTGTTCATTTTATAGATTAATCTTATTCACGATAGACTATTAATCTTCTTGATCTCAGGAAGCTCTTTTTTGTAAAATTCCCCTCATATATAGTCTGTCAACCGGTACTTGTAAAACACAAAAAGGTTCTGGTTTTCTGGTTTTCGTTTCTATTGTAAAGATTTAATTTAAGTCCAACTCAACCGATAGAAGTTTGGACGAATTTATTTGAATTTAATTCAACCCAATTTCTATAGTAGGCCGTTCAAATCCAATTTGATTAATTTCGGTTTAGATCGGATCAACCCAAAACCGATCAATTGACACCCTTAATTGCTATCCAAAAGAAAGCATATTTATTGTTAAAATGGCTATAGGTTGATTGATGAATTACATCAAATGATTTCTAGAGAAGCAAATATTGAGAATTTTATATTGTTTGTGTAAAATTTATTATAAATGTAAACTAATCATCTTTGCCATGTCAAAACGACGACCATGCCAGAATTTTAGTCCATTAATTTTTTAACAAATGAAATTTGGATTTAGTATATCCAATTCATTTGCATGCTTATTGCGTCTCTTTCTCTTTTTTCTTTTTCTTTTTTTATTCTTGTATAATTCTGGTTTTCTCAATGAATTCTTTATTTTTCAAAATAAATAATAAACTATAAATGTTTTATATGCAAACATTCAACATAGAAGTATGGACAGGCCTAATGCAGATTTCTAATTTCCACTGCAGAGCTATAAACATTCAAAATGTCAAAAACCTGACATCAATTACTATTTGGCACCCATCCCAACTGTACTTTGGGCCTAAAAATTCTGACCTTAGGAACCATTATTCTCTCAACATTCAATGAAAGATCCCATGCACTTGATAGCTATGTAGCCAACATGTAAAAATTCAGATTAACTGACAGGCTGTAGAATCAATGTCATGAAAATGTTCAACATCAGTCATAAATTCTATGTGAGAGACTGATAGGTTATGGGTCATATGCAATTTATGTCTAGCACTGGGCGCGCTACCACATGTTCCACAGCCCACCATACAGTTGTTGTGTTCAGCTAATTCAATTCATGTGAGGCGAGAAAGTGGTTAAGGGGCATATGAGTTTGGATCTCTTATATATTCATAAGAACTTTATTCACGCCTACCCATGCCTTATTATAGTTGTACATTGATAACATTTCTTATATTTATATGAGTCCAGATCTCCTTCCCACGAGAATTCTACCCACACCTATCGCACCCATACATGGAGAACATCTCATCCTCTGTATAGTATTATACAGGGGGAGATGTTCCCAATTCACGTGGGGTAGTATATTGTGGGTAGGTGTGGTGGGCAGAGTTCTCGTGGACAGGAGATCCGGAGTTTACATATATTCAGAGGGGTGCCTTCCCCCAATGCCTTGAAAATGCCCCTAATATTTTAAGTTTTTTTTTTAATTTTTCATGTAAATAAGGTAATAATCAATTTAGTCATAAAAATCTATTATTAAAATGATATTTTTGTTATATTTAAGTGTTGACAACTTTCCATTCACATGAGAAAATTATTTATCCACCTAGGAAATGAGTACTCAGGAAAATAAACTTTCCTTGGTTCTTAGCTCCACCCTACAGTTGAGGTAGGTGCTAATTCAGAATTGATGCCAATATATGAACAAACATTAGTGCTTAGAGTGAGGATATTTGACATTTTGAATTATGTGAATTGAAGTGTATTTATCCGTAAAAAATATGGATTTAACTCCGCCCATTCTGTAACCCACCTAAGAGAGTGCCCAACAGAATAATCTGGATAAGAATTCGGGCCCGGGTAATTTACAAGGGTGGGTCCTAAGGACCTAATCGTCTTAATCAAAGACATTGGTTACTTATGAGGCCTGTGTCCCAAGACCTTAGTTTTTGCAAGAGAAACTCAGGCCATAGCTTTATGGGGCTACAAAGAAGTGTTTCGGCCTTTTGACCTTTGGGCCCATGGAGATTATATGGGTAACGATCAAAGAGCCTCTACCGAGGACTCTTCAAATAATTCGTAAAACTGATTAACTGATGGCTAAAGGTAATCTGATACTTCTGCAGCATGGCGGGTTGCAACCTGGCAAGTTGTAGGATCCAAAGCACAATTGTCAGGTAGTCTACATCCTTAGCTTAGACGGTTAGACCCAAGGACGCCCAGCTTCAACGTACTAAAATCCAACTTTCCAAAGCTTCAAAATCAGTATGTAGTGTGTACTGTGTCCAATCAATTAGCAGCAACAGCGCTCATTGATTCTTTTTTATCAAAAAACAACCACAACAACTATAAACACTCCCATTTTATTCACTGGAGAGAGAGAGAGAGAGATCAACGTGGCCCGTCCCAACTCATCTTTCACGTCGTCATGAGACTCTCTTCTCTCTCTCTTCTCTCCCTCTCCATCTCTAATGACGCCAATATAATCGTCTCGACTTAGGGCTTTGCCATCTTCTCCCCCTCTCTCGCTATCTCTATGTTTCTATTTCAATTCTCTTTCCCTGCAATCCTCATCAAAGGAGATAAATCTGAATACTAAATTGTTTGCGATAATGGCGAAGAAAACAACGAGTAGAAAGGGAGGGAAGGTAGAGCAAATTCACATTCCAAAGTGTTGTCAGCAACCCAGAAGCCGTGCCCCCAAACCTCGCACCGACTTCTCTCCTTTCGTCTGCTCATCGTCCACGTCCTCTGCGTCATCTTCACCTTCTTCTTCCCCTCCTGAAGCTGCCGCCACCACTGCTGCCGGCGATCGCCTTGCTTTTTATACTTATCGTCGTCGTCGTGGTTCGTCTCATCATTCATTATTTCCAATCGTTGAAGTATATATCAGTTTATTCAATTGCTCAATTGAATTTTGTTCCTGCATTTTATTCGATCTTCTGGATTGAAATTATGGTTAAAATTTCTGCTTTGGGCACTCTCTTAATCCCCAATTTGATTAATCCTCTGTGGTTATGGAATTAATATTTGATGATGCATTTAGAGATTAACGAACTTAGCAATTCTTTGCCGTTCCATGTTCTTCCTTGACATGACAATGGGATGAGATTAGTGCCAGAGAACAAAAGTTGAGTCGAGAAAATTGGAATTAAAACTAAAGGAACTAGAATTACGGTTTCCAGGTATCCACAATTGGGAAACTAGTGCCTATTGAATTGAAAACTTGGATATGTTACTGAGGATCATTGGTGGATTCATCAACCTTCTTGAGGTGTTCCATCCCATTCATCAAAGAAAGGAGAAATTTCACACTGATTAAAAAGGTTACAAGACAATTTCCAATTACTTAATTCCAAAAGGTTAAGCCCGTCTCGTTGTATGGTAATTAGTTGATGTTTTATTGAAGAAAAATGTTTAAATGCTCTTTTGAAGCATCTCTGCCAGATCAAATGAATAATGAGTAATCATGTTAGTGGATAAAAACAAGAATATGACCACCCCAAAGAAAAAGTGTCTCCTTTCTCAGTCTTAGGCCGATGAAAGTCATTTCTGTTCTATCCTTTTTTCTTTGATAAGTGATTTCTGTTTTTTCCCTTTTTAGAATGATCATGCGAAGTTCTTCTCTCTTTTTTGTGTTTTGTCATATAATAACAAAAAGGGAGTTTTTTTTTGTAGTAATAAATGAAGCTTAGAATATCTTTTTAGATTGTAATCTTATATTAAACACATCTCGTTGTTCTCCGTGGTGCTATGGAGTCCAAAATGAAGTTGCTTCATCCATTGTCTTTGTAGCATATGTTGAAATTTTATTTAAAATATTTAAGCTTTTGTTTTGGAAAATTTGATATGATAGGTCCTGCACTGGAGCTCTTGAGCTGCAAAGATGGTTTATCCAGCATCACAACAGCTAGCGTGGAGCAAGGATGCAAGGAAAATGAAGCACCCAAGTTCCCTTTGGTTCAGTCTAGTCCCAAGAACAAAGGACAGGAAGGACTCTTGTCAGATTCAGTTGGATTACAACTTACTGAAGCTGACTCAGTTTATCAAAATGCAATGTTGGATATCTGTGATGCTAGGTTTGTCTCATGCCTTTGTGGCATTGCAGTCTTGCAAGAATTACTTGTTGTGGAAATGGCTGTCAATTTGTCCAGGAAATCTCTGGGTTCATTAATGATTTACTTTCTTCGAAGAAACTCTTTAATGCACTTCCCTCATAATAAAACCGGGTTCCTCACTTTTAAGATGAAGAAAGAAAAACTAGGCTACTACATGGCAAAAAAGGGCCATTACCCTATGTTGGTTGTGCCCATCTGGGTCTTGGGAGTGGTGGACTGGATACGGACCTAATTTATGGCTCTTTTTTTTTTCACAAAGTGGGCACTCTCAGGCGTGAACCCACTTTCTTGCACTTTCTGCACAATGGTTCAGATGGCAATTGATCCAAAACAACTTGATATGCCCATATTGAATATTTTGTGGCCAAAAAGTTATTGAGTTTGAATCATCAATACCATCAAATATTAACTATCGAGACAAATACAATACTGCAGATGCAAGATCAATGAACCATATTATCAATATACCAAATTATTTAACTATGATATCTTTAACGGGAATTTCATCAAGCCAATACAATGCATCAAATAAGCACCTGTATAAGGTAGTAATAGCTACAAGCACCAAGTTTGTTTTTTTATTGAAATCATTCTCCATATGAATGTATTTTCATCTTTCCTTACCGGGTTCAGACGCCTAAGATTGATTTAGCTACATATTGCATTCAACTCCAATAAATACATCACAGATCAAATGGACAACCATTTGGTATTTTTAGTATTCTATGTTGCAGTGTCATTATTTTAAGCAAACTTTTCTCTTGTCCAAATTGTCAAAGTCTCCCATGACTGCCAAGTTTGAAGCATATATTAAGTACTTTCTCCCTTTATTTATTTCTTTATTTATTTATTGATAAGTATCAATAAAATAATGACAACATTGGGTAATGTCCTATTTTTATTTAGTTTTTCCTTAATTCAGATAAAAGTCCAAATTTACTGGCAACTCAACTTGGGTTCTAACACTTTAAACTTTGTTTAGATGCCTTAAATTGGGTTCTTCTCAAAAATAAAACCATTTTCTCTGGTGATATCATATTTGATCATTTTCCTCAACCCTTTTTGTCTAATGATTTATTTTCTTCCTTGATTAAGTTCTACCCTTCCCAAGACCCCAGATAGCTGGGACCAACATTGGGTAATGGCTTTTTTTTATTTAGTTCTTCCTTAATTCAGATAAAACTCCAAGTTTACTGGCAACTCAACTTGGGTTCTAACACTTTAAACATTTTTTAGATGTCTTTAATTTGATTCTTATCAGAAATAAAATCATTTTCTCTGGTGATATCGTATTTGATAAGGAATCTTTTTTTCCGCAGCCCTTTTTGTCTACTTTTGGAAATAGGATATATGTGATGTTCCAATAACAGACATCTTCTATTTTATTCAGGAACATCAGAAGGCATGTCTCTGATACTGATGGAACATTAGCTTTTACTCCTGATAAATCTACGTCACGAATTTCAGAAAGCAATGATGTTTGGATAATTCCTGGAAATATAGTGTGGGCTAAAACAGCTTGCCAGATGTGGTGGCCTGCAGAAGTAGGTTACATTTGCATTATTTTCAGAATTTGATTGATATTGAATTGGTTAATTTGCAATTTTATTTTGAGGTAAATAGACTCTTTATTCATTAATATTATAGAATGAGATGTAGATATGTAAATATGGAAGATATGGTCAAGTCCTGGCAACCAAAATGTTGGTCACACTTTAAATGTAATGAACAACATGCATTAATTGGACAACCTAGGTTAGTACAGGTAATATTTACACTATTGGAAATTAATTTCCTCAAAGATAATACCTTTTCGGTCTGGCATTTCAAATAGTTAGAGTTTTCCAAAGTGGTAGCCTAACTGATGTTTAACTGATATCTTCAGATCATGGGAGAAAGTTCAACTCCGATTAGTACAAGTAATCAATGTGTTGATGGACAAGTTCTAGTGCAATATTTTGGAAAACATGAATGGTAAGATCTCTAACCTCTCTTGATACAGGCTTTATGTTGTTTTTCAAACTGCAAAGGAACCTTTGAGCTCTGTTGGCCATTTAGTTGTGGGAACTAAAAGTTTGAGGTGATTTTGCAGTGCTTGGGTTGATCCAGTTGGAGATCTTTCACAGTTTGAGAATGTGAGTATAGACTGTCCACTTTCTGTCAAAGAAGCCATAGACCTAAAGGGCATTTGGATGGGATTGTTAAATCCAAAATCCAGATTCTAAACTTCCCCCTATAATGCCCATGAAATGTGGATTACAAGGATTTTAATCACTTCACCAAATTCCACTACTGAAAATCTTATAATCCAGTTGCAGACTGATTATAAGATCTTTTAAGAATTGACTATAGAATCTACATATAAATCCAAACTAAACACCTTGGATGCATATGCTAGAACTCATTCATACATCTCCCCACCCCCTCCCCCCCCCCCCCCCTTTTTTTTTTTTTTTTTTTTTTTTTTATTGCCGCAAATCTACAACCCACTTCACACATGTTGATATTGAAGACTATGTTAAGAAATAAAGATGCTTCAGTGACTGCTTGTGTTCTAAGCAACTTATGCCATCACTGATCAAGCCAATTTAGTCAGCTTTTGTTAACTTGTGACCTTTTCATTTTGTTTTTAACCATTCAATATTGTTCTAGATACTCAAGACTTTTGGTTTTTGCTTTTTTCAGTGCTTTGAATCAAAGAGCTGCAATCCTATGAAATCATTTCAGGATGCTCTGAAACAAGTATATATTTGACCTTGTTAATGATGCAATTTTATTTTAATATTCTTCTATCTGTTGCATTTCTCAATGACCTATTTTGTACTAATGTGGGCCCATTTTCTTCTCTTATCTGTTTGCAGGCCTTGCACAGGAAAGAACAGATAGACTCATTTAGATTGTCAGATCAAAGTCCTGATGTTCAAAACATCCAGACACCCGGTGAGTTCTTTGATCCCAAATTCCTCACTTTACTTTTAAGTTTGACCACCTTTTAAAAATCAAGAAAGCACTATGGGTTGCAAGGAGCCAACCAGCGGTTGGTAAGGTCTCCTGCTGGTCGTAGCGGAGACTTGGGATCGAATCCTGCCTGCATCTGGGTTGGGGGGGGGGGGRTGGGCTACCCCCCGTTGTGTAGGACTCAAAGAAGCGTAGAATGAAGTGATACTTGATACCAATTAGGTGGGATAGTCAATGATCAGATATTTGATCCAGAGTAAGCTGGATTAAAAAGGCCATCACACGATGTCAGTCCCAGCTATCTGGTATCATGGGGGATTCAGAATTTCAGATTAAACTGTATAGATCTCAAAAAACAGATTCATAGATGATTGGTTTGAATACAGATCCACCCTCGGGCAATCATGTTAAGACTCACCCCAGCAATATTTATGCATTTTTAATGTATGCACATATTTAATGTCTTTATCATAAAAGTTGGTCTGAGTATTACATTGTTAACTAAATGTTACAGGCTGTCTTATGGAAGTCATCTGTGGGTGACCCTATTGTGGATTTACAAAACCCAATTCAATTAGTTGTGTTTCAATCAGATTCAGATATATCAAGTATGTAAAATCTGTTCAAATTCAGATCTAGGTATACCGTATATACCAAGATCAGGTCAAAATGAAAGAATGGAATAGATCCAATGGTCATGATTGTCTGCTCCATTTGGCTGCTGCTCTGCTTGTGAGGGATATGTCACTCAAACACCATGTTGAGAATTTTAATATTCAATCCTTAGATTTCTTCTTTTGGAAATTTAGAAATTGAGTGGAAAAGAAATAATTGGAAAGCTAAGCCTATAAAAAATAATAATAACAATAATAATTGGAAAGATGAGGCAAGAAAATGCTCAAACATAGATATGTACAATAGAAACATACATACTTCTGATGCAACTAAGTTCTATCTTTGTCAGAAGCTTAAAATAAGAAAAAAAAAGCACTGGGTTCATTTTTCTCTAATAAACGAGATTATACTTGTTCATATGTTCCTAGAAGCAGCATTTCCTCACAAAAAATCATCTTCTCTAATAAATGAGACTTATGTGTTCACAGGTCTATGTCCCTGGAAGCAGGGACAAAACCAAGATAAATAAATTGTTTTACTTGAACAAGGTTAGGTAACAAAATTATGGCTTTTCTTTTTCACTTTTTCCTTTTATTGTTTTTAAGACAGCCAAAGAGGATACATTAAGCAGTTTTAAGTGTCTCCCTGGCAGCATAAGCGCATAACTTCTTCAACCACTATGGTGTTTTTTTGAAGATGGGGGCTATACAATGGGGGTTAGCCCATCATCCATCCCTAAAACCCTCCTCACCCCTGGTGGCAACGGGAATAGATCCTGCATCTCCACTTATGTCGTAACCAAGAATGTACCAACTCGGCCACCAACCAGTTGGTATGGGAATAGATCCCGGTTAGTCTTATATTACTTTCTGGGCCTAATTTTAATTTCTGATTGCCAGAAAAGTGGAATGCATCAAGCTCGAGCAGAACAGATGGTGATCACTTGGAGAGAGGAAGGGGTAAAAGGAAACGGAAGCCAAAAGTTCATTTTGATGTAAGTTGCTTTTACATTTCTTCATTGTTTTGTTCTAAATTACTTTGGCATGTCCATAATTGCTTTCACATTCTTCTTCTTCTGTAGGAGGTGACATTTCCAATGAAACCAGTGAAGAAAGTACGGAGATTCAGGATAATGCGGTATCTTGGCCTTGTAGCTCCAATTGGATCCCCCTTCTCACTCACTCCCCATTTAAGAACTACTTAAAAAGTCATATGGTGCTATCGCCTCTCATCATCTTTCCTTCTCCTTCTGATCTTTTCAAAATTAATTTCATCTTCTTTACGCTTGTGATAAGATTATGGGTTGTATTTATGGTGAGAAATTTCCTTGTCAATAGACAATGATCCATCTCTCACTTTGTATCATATTAGTTGTTTGAACAATTAACAGGAGATTGTGTTTGGTCCAATTGCTGTTTCTACCAGAAGTTTTTTGGGTCGATCAATACAGATACAGATTGGTGAGAGATGTGTTCCTAGAATATCAGAATCATTGATGTTTTTACCTGAAACGTAAATTTGACGTTTCTACAAGCAGCTTCCCACACATGCATTGTTTAAGGTACGCCTGTTGCAAACTTGAAATTATAAACAGTCTCAACTCAACTCTCAAAATAACCATTGTATGCTAGTTTGTATTGATTAACCCGAAACGTTCCAGGTAAAAACAGCAACCGTACCAAATACAACCGAAATCTCTCATGCCGATTATTAATAACATTCCATGGATGAGGACATGCTGCCAAACATACGTTGCAGACCAGGAGGTTTGACACGTGTCCAGATCGTTGTACTGACCTGGTCTACTGTGGGGTCATTTTAGTGTTGTGGGCCAAATCAAGGGTAACTCACTGAGTCCACCATCCATGATGACCAAGATGACTCGGTCAGTTGAATATTTCTTCTTAAAATAATATATATATATATATATATATATATATATATTATAATATAATATATAATGAAAAAAGAATAATACGTAGTGGAATCGACCTGGTCAACTCGACTCGACTTAATTCTGCTCTGAATTCATACCCGGAGGTCGCGAATGACCTAGTCTGGGTTGGAGACTGGTTAATAAAGTCTAAAACTGCAAAATGTGCCCGGACATCTATAAGATAATAACCGATTATGGTGTCGGGTCTGGTTTGGGACAGGGGTGGACCAGTCCAGAACCGATTACGAATCGGTTATATTGGGTCTGACCCGATTAGACCTAACTACAAATGACATCTATAAGATAATAACAACCTAGAACTTCAGTTTTTTATAATATAATTCAATAAAAATAACATTAAATAGTAAAATAAACAAGTGTTTTAAACCAAAATAATCTTATAGTGTCTATCAAATTTACCTTTTTTAGATATAAAATACAAGAAAATGAGGAGACTCATATTATTAATAATATGATCAGCTTGGCAAGGTGCCAAATCTACTAACGAGCAAGGTTCAAAATATTGATAGTCTGATATGTCAGTAGGGGCGTGTCAGATTGTTTCATGGCTCGCATTTTTTTTTTTTTAGTTTTTTTATCAACCTGGTTTAAAGGGATTGATTTAAGGCCCATCTACCCCGTGAACTGAGTTAAACCCCAAAACACTCACTATAAGGACATATCGGGAAGTCCACAATACGTTATGTATTTTCAGCCTGGTTCAGAGAGGTTGGTTTAAGGCCTGTTTACCTCTTGAACCGAGTTAAACCCCCAAATACTCCCTATAGAGACATACCGGAAAGCCCATGATACGTTATGTATCAGTTGATACAGCCCGAAATGTATCCAAAATTAAGGTTGAACAAAACAGCTGTTCAGTAGGCTGTGGAACCAATTATAAGGATCCACACCAGTAATAAAATACATAGAACACGGACCTTTCACAATGGAGCCCATTATAAGGTTCCACACCGGTAACAACCATCACATTCAAGTAATCCAAATTCTATATTAATTAGTTACTGAGGTGTCCCTTAGGTGTAGCGGAGACTTGGGATTGATTCATACCTGCACCGGGGTTGGGGGATGGGTTACTCACTTACTCACAGTGTATAACCTCATGAGCAAAGGGAAAAAAATAAAAAAGAAAAAAGATAGTCAGCTTGGGCCTTAATCGGTTTGAAACAGCAAGGAACTGGTCCCAAACTCATAATCCAATTATTAATCGGGACCTATGCTATAGACAAGAACCATAACAATCGGTTGGATTAGTTCAGTTCTATCGGATGGATCTGACCCATTTACAACTCTAAATCACCTGGAGTTCGATTCACGTTGACAAAGTAAAAGAAAAAAAATAAAAATAAAACCGTCCATTATGTTATGTCATAGGTTGGGAGAGGGAGGAGGCCGGCAGGACTGAGTGGGACCCTATTGGCGTGTGGCAGGCACGATATTTGAATTATTTAAAAAGTTTTCTTTCTGATGGGGTCATGGATTTGACCCAGCGGCTTCGGCTTTTATAAGATTTCCGAGACAATGAGAGCACCTAACAACAAACCACACCCAATTAACAATTTCTTCATCTCTTCTTTAAATAATCAGATAATAGTGAGAGAGAAAGAGAAAGAGAGAGTGGGGACTGAGTGGGACCCTTTTTATGTTGTTTATGATCTTCAATATATCTAGTATTTATTAATATATATAATTATTGCTTTATACTAGAATTCAATAATTCATCAATAGCTCCAACGTCCAATCTACCAATGGATGAGTGATGAGTGATGAGGCTTACTATCCCTTTGCGCCGATTTAGGGAAGCATAGCTAATAGCTATATATACTGCTGTACTCAGAATTAATTAATAAAAACAGGTAAACGCATGATCCCTATCTGTTAGGGTTTGTTTGCATGTTCCTATCACTGTGTATACTTTCAGCTTCAGGCTTGATTTAAACAATGAGGATGAGGGAGGGCTCTGGGTCTGGGATCCAGCTATTGCCCCCATTAGGACCTGTTTGTCAGGTAGAAAGATCAAATAGATGATTTAGGCCCACAAATATACAGAAAGCAGAATTACGAAAAGGGTCAGAAATCACTTCAGCTAGCATGGGTTCCTGCTCCTGTGCTTTCGCTTTAAAACCATGGGTTTCGTGCAAGTGAGAGTGTTCATCATGCCGATACAAGTCAAAATGTATGTAGATTGCTGCTGTTATGTCACCTAATTTGGGTCTCATGGTTTCAAAAGGACTACTCTACCCCTCTTCTTATCATTTCATTTATCGAGGTATCAGTCTTTATAATTTCCACAATTACACTAGAGTCTGGCAGATCATCAGATGGTCCACACTCTAAACTCTAAACTCCAGATTTAGTGATGCGGCCAATTACACTTCCGTTGTTGAATCTATTATATCCATGGCCGTTAACCTGTTTTATAGTTTTTGGCCGTTTTTTATTTTAAATATTTTTTTTATGTTTTTTTTTATTTTTTTGTTAGAACGGACCATTCATTCGAATCAGATGATCGAATCATCGACCCGAAAATCAGTTGTCAAAACGGTTCCAATTCCGAATCAGTTTTTAAAATATTGCTAACATGTATATAGGGGGATCCAGATTCTCTACAAATATAAATGGATGTAGCAATTGGACCAGGAATTATGATGCAATTTGTTGCGGAGTGTTCTACAACATGATAATGTTTTTGTTTTCGCTTGTTTTTTAAATCGTCACATCAGCAATAAAACAAAACCGCATGTTATTGAACTCTATTTTTTGTTTTAATTAAAGGAAGAAAACAAGTTTGTTGTGTTTCAAAAGAAAATTAATGCATGCTTTTAAAACCATCAAAATAGTGATTTTTTAAAACAAGAATAAATTAATGTTGCATTATAGAATTGTTATATGATCTATGGAGTATGATATTAAGGGGGTTTTTAACAACATGATTTTGTTTTTGAAAATAAAAAATTAACGACTGCCAAGTCAGCAAAATTATATTGTTTTTTCTGTTAATATGTCAGTTGTTTTTTTCATTTCAGAAACAAAACCAATCATGTTGTCGAATACCCCCTAAATAACCAGATAAAACATGTTTTTGAAACAAAAAATTCAAGAGTATGCTTTTGATTTCTGTTTCAAAAGTATAAAAAAACACAGTTTATTTTCAAACAATAAATACAAAAAATATGTTTTCAAACACCTAAGTGGCACTGATGTGGCGGTATTTTTCTAATAAACGTCAATAGAGCCAAACATAGCCTAAATTGCTGAGAGGAGAAAAGGAATCATCATTATGTAAGCCTTATCCTAACTATATATATGGAGACCTAAGTCCAACCCATATCATTTTTGTTCCTTAAATCAATTTTGCACTTCAGCATATGCACCCTTTGGATTCCAAATTAATCTAAGGTTGCCCTGATTCCACTCCCATTGTTCTTAAATTAACATCATTTCTATTTCAATGTTCAAATTTTTTAAATTTTAAAGCTTCTTATTTCTAAGGTATTTGTCATTAAATTTAATTTTACACTTAAATCCTTCCTCAATTTGAGAGAGAAGGAAATGGATATATATATGTGACAAAAATTGAAGCTTAGTTTGATCAACAAAAATTCTTTAATGAAACCTCTGGCAACAAACCAACATGTTATCATCATGTTTGGTGTGGGCCATGAGTTAATAATGCCATTCAAAGAGTGTAGACATAAAAGTGGGTTTATAACGGCTTTTTTAAAATCAATTCCATGTGATTGCCAAACGCCCCTTGCGACTCGTTTAAAGTAATCTGATTGGTTGATTCTACCACCAAACCCCCGCCCCTGCTAAATAATTTGGCGAGTTAAGTCCATTTAGTCCTTCACCCAAAAAATAAAAAAGTTGATAGAATGGTCCCACACACATAGCATCAGCACGACGAAGGATCCACTCATCCACCAATCAGTGATGCCTAACCCAACCCACTAATATACCTCTTGCTTTTGCATGAGGTTACGTTTAAAAGAAAAAAGGAAAGAAAAACGGTATATTCCAATCACACGATGATGATTCCATACATGCATGGCTCATTACCCAAGAAAAAGTTGATTGATGGATCTGGATCAAGGGCACGTGATAAGATGGGCGGTTCGGTTCATATGCCATGCCATGCCAATACCGGAAGTCTGGAAATACTTAAGGAGAGAGAAAGAGAGAGAGAGTTGCTATAAAATTTTTGTACTGCATGGATTGAGAAGGTGACAACTAAAGACTAACGAGAATGGGTTGTCATCTAATTTTGGAGGTAATTGAAATATGAAGGTGATCGACCCTTAATTTTGATTTTTGAAACGATCAGAGCGTATGCGTGAGGATTGACGCAGAGACATTGCTTTAAGCCCTTTAATACCATCGATCATGTAACAAAATGTTGACAAACAACGCAAACAAGTGATTGGGTATTCCCATATTTAATTACTCTATCTTAATTTCTCACAAAACCCTTTGTTTATACGAGGGTTGTCTCGTCTCATTTGGGATTGGTGTGATTTGAGGGAGGCTTCAAGTGGGGATGCTTGTATATAAAGAAAGCTCCAAGTTGACTTGGAGCCTCTCTCTCTCTCTCTCTCTCTCTCATATGTGACAAAATGGGATTTTGTTTCTTTCCATCTTAGAAGCAGGAGACAAGATTTGGTTAGCAGGCTCTTATGAAAAGAGGAGAGCATAAATAGTGGTGCAAATCTAGTTGCAAGCTGAGAGAGAGCTTTTTCAAAAGAAGGGTGTGACTTGTTTTAAGGAGACAAGAGGGGAAGATTTGGAAGATGATTTCGGAAGTTACTTCATGCTTCCAGAGCGGCTCTCAGGGATTGCAGATGTATGGGGTTGGGGTGGCTGATGATGTGATATCCTCTTCTCTGGAAGACAGTTCAGTTGCAGAAACCCAGTCCAGCGCTCTCCTCTACAGCCTCTCCGTTCTCAGGGACAAGGTTCATCAGGTGCAATCCTTGGTCAGTCTCGTCATCTCCCCCAATAATCAAGCCCAACCTGAATCCACCGCCATGGCCATAGCCGGTATGGGCACCCTTATTCAAGAGATAATCGTTACTGCTTCTTCTATGATGTTCACTTGTCAACAGATGGCTCTTGGCTCTACTACGGTGAATAATAGCAGCTGCCATGAATTGCACCAGCATCAGCACGTTAAGGCTTCACCCGGCGGCGTGCTGCCTCAACCCACCGGCACCGGCGGTCGGGAGGTTCAGATGGGAGAAGGAAGTGATCAACGAGGATTCTTTGCCGCCGGTCAGCAACATCTTGATTGGTATGGTGATAACTATAACAGTAACACTAACAATAGCAGTAACAACAATGTTAAACCCGGTATCACCATTAGCAATAGCAACACCACCACCACTTACAACAACGATGTGGGAGAGAAGGAATTGCCAAATGGGGTTGAGAGCGATGGTGGGTTGCATGATTTCTCGCCCAAGAACTGTGATATCATCGAGTTGGAGGCAGCAGATCTTCTGGCCAAATTCACACATTATTGCCATGTCTGTGGGAAAGGATTCAAGCGGGACGCCAATCTGAGAATGCACATGAGGGCACATGGGGATGAGTATAAGACCAGTGCTGCTCTGAGCAACCCCATGAAGAATGTGAGCAATTCATCAATGGGATACAAAGGATACTCCATGAAATTGCCCAAGAAATATTCATGCCCACATGAAGGCTGCAGGTGGAACAAGAAGCACGCCAAGTTTCAACCCTTGAAATCCATGATCTGTGCGAAGAATCACTACAAAAGGAGCCATTGCCCCAAGATGTACGTCTGCAACAGATGCAACCAGAAGCAGTTCTCCGTGCTGTCCGACCTCCGCACCCATGAGAAGCACTGTGGAGAACTCAAGTGGCAGTGTACATGTGGGACGACCTTCTCCAGGAAAGACAAGCTCATGGGTCACGTTGCTTTGTTCGTCGGCCATGCCCCAGCAGTGAATTCAATGATGAAGCAAGGAAAATTGGATCATCATCATCATCATCATCAGGCCGTGCAAATCCAGTGAAACAGGAGGTGAAGACTGAAGATGATGGGGGGGCTGGAAACCATCAGATAAATTAATTAAGGTGCCCGAGATTTTATTCATGGTTTTGAGGTTTACAGTCCTCATCAATCCAATCCATAGGTCTTGTGCTTTATTGTATATTCACCGTCACCGATCGACGTTCAGCTTGTGAATTTGCTTATTACATTAGATGATGAGTTTCTTGGAGATGCTAGTAGCTCTAGTGTTTTTTGAAAGGGAAAATATTTGAGTGTTTTAAATTACTTTAAATTTAATTCTTCTGCACAGAACACTCCCCTTTTCCTCAATCTGATCACCTTTAAATGTTTCCGTTGGTTTTATTTTCTGTCCCAATTGCTCCTAAAACTGAACTGACATCTGATCACAGTTTCTGAATTCTGATCCAAACTCCAAAGGCGATTAACTGTATGTGCAGACTTATGCGGATATATCTCTGATTTGGTGGTGTCATTTATAGATACCAAGTGTGTGTGTGTGTGAATGTTTCCACTTTCTAGGCAATTACGCAGTACTGACTACAAGTAGAGCTAGTGCCGTAGAGGAGTCTCTAGCTAGCCAAGTCAAGAGAAAATTTAAGTAGTATTGGGATTAGTGTATCTTTTCTTGGTATACGCATCATATAGAGCTTATTATGGTTCCCAATACCTTCAATTTGGCCATATTATTACTCAACAAATGTGAATTTTCTCTTTACATATGTTCATCAACACTATCATATCCTCTTGTTGGTTTATACCATTAGTGCATAAGCTTGAGCTAGAAATACAAAAAGAAAGAAAGTTATTCCTGCAGCGACTGAAAATTTGTAACTACCCCTCCCACCCACAAAGGATAGGGGGGATCGATCCCTATTAGTTTCACCTTCAAACTTAACTAATTAAATCAACTTGATTCAGCATGTAAAAACATGAAGTAGGGTATATATATATATATATAATGCTACTCAATATTGGGTTGAAGGAGCAACAAGGGTTAGAGACAAACAAAAAAAAATAAGGTAAAAATAGTAAGAAATGATTTAATCACTTGCAATTTAATAATGAATATGACATTAAATAGAACCAAATGGCAAAACCGGATACATGTAGTCAATCCCATATAAAATTAGGGTAAAAATGATAATGATGATGATGATGATGAATTAATGCCATTCAAATATTGGATTGCCATGAGAATTTGATTTCAACCCCAATGCTAACAAAACAACTTTAGATCTAGGCATATCCTATCTGATCCATTTTCTGCCTTAGCATGAAAGAAACCAAATCCAAATCCATATATATATATATATGAACTTCCTCATGAATCAGATATTCTTAGGTGTAAGACAAACTGAAGAAGGCCTAATAAAAGCTCTGAAACGTTTTAATTAATAGAATGAGATTATCTACAGAAGCTTTACGTAAATTCCAGTGTTGAGTAAAGGTGGTCCACGCAATTGTGTCAGTGTATTTGTAAACCGTTCTAGCTACATAAACACACAGACGGGTCATGAATCTCCATTTTCAATATGTATGTCAAATGTCCATGAAAGAAGAGCTCCAGTCTTGAGTCATTCTTGTCGTAATTAGGTTCTCTTTTATCAAAGGAAAATCCCAAGGAAGTCAAGGAGGAAAAGGGTTCCTTGAAAGACGTAGCCCCGAAAATGACTGTTGCTCCTTTCGGTTTTAGTGAACGTTTCTTTGAATATCGGGACTTTAGTTTTGGTGGGTTTTTAATCTATCAGGAATTCTAGCCTTCTATCCTTCCTTCAGGACCATTTTACGTTTATCAATCGAAGCAATTTTGTCCTTTTTTCTCTTCTTTCATTTTCCCCCCCTTACGAGGATGGATGAAAATCAAAGCATTAATCTGAACAGAACATCTACCAGTGTTGCTGTAATTTGTATGAAAATTATATTAGTAAGACTCAATTTGGAAAGAATATAAATATAAAATACATACAAAATATAACGTTTTACATTTAATACATTTGTATTTATGTTCCTTCCAAACTGAGGCTAAATGTGGCTTAAGATATAGGCACTAAGCACACTTTAGCAATCTCTTGGGTGGGCCTGACTGACAATGTACAAGATGGAGAGCATGGGTATCATTAGGACGAATGAATTAGGATTGGCTCCTCACACCAACCTCACAACACATCCCATCATGTATTGGAAACATCCCCATGAATAAGAATAATAACATACAAGGATAAAAAATAAAATGTTACTGATGTGTGGCTGAAATGTGCTGGAAGTTCGGTGTGAGAAGCAGATAGGAACTCCGTTGAGAGTTCAGACTGAGAAAACATCAAAGGCCCTGTTGTAAGTGATATAACAATTAATTATGTATTTTATATCGCAGAATTGGCTTGAGATGTTATGTGCATGATAATTAGGACTAGCTGATGATGGCTATGCTGCATTGAAAAATAAAGTAGATATATAATAAATGATGCTGTTGTGGGTCACAAATTTTCATAGAAATTAGCATTTTCCGGATGCAACTTTCAAGGGCCCCAATATTGTGAATGGTTTTGCTTTCCAAGACAAATTAAAACAATTTCCACATCAGCAAAAAAACATGTATTTTTTGTGCTGACATGATAGTTGTTTATATCTGTATTTTTCCCATACTGAACAAGTACTCCTTAACTTCACCACATGGTAGTGTATAAGCAAAATAAAAAGCTGAGTGTTAGGGGCTGTTTGATAATGGATGAAGTGGTTGAACTGAATGAATTAACACTTTGCCTCTTAGGCTCAGTTTGGAAGGAATATAAAGTGTAAAGCCTTGTACTTTGTATTATTTTTTATGAATTTATACTGAATTGTACATATTTGTATTTGTACTCTTTTCAAACTGAGCCTTAGTGCATAAAATAGTCATATAACAAAGTTTAGGAGTACTATAATAATGAACCCAAAATTCTTTTCAGCCATTAAGGAGCATGTACCAGTAACCTACATGGTGGTTTATTCATTGAAAGACCAAGCAATAAAAGTCATTCAGTTCAGTTACTTTAGCAGTTATTAAGCAACCCTTAGGGCCGGCCATGCAATTGTTATGGGCCGGAGCCCTGTGTGTTGGAGATTTAAAGACACATGAATAAAGGAATAAGTCATTTAGTTCAGCTACTTCAGCCATTTCCCAACAGTTCCTGAGGAAACAATGAACCCAGTTATACTTGTTATGGGAGCCCAATGTTGGCGATTTTTTTATTTTTTTCCTTCTTTTTCATCTTTCAGCAAAACTCATACTAAAAAAGCACTTTAAATTACTCTGAATCAAATCAGCCTAGAGCAATGATGAACAGCATTGTAGTTCTTGGCATGGTTTTCAAAACCAGATCGGAAAATTGGGAAATGGTCACCTGACCGGTTCCGTTTTACCCCAGACCCGTCTCTTTGGCCAAAATCATTGATTTGGTCAGTAAACTGCTGACCCATGTGGTCAAACCATTCGAACCATCCAGTGGTTTTTTGCCGTTTTTTATTTTTTAATATTTTTAATTATTATTTTTATTTCTTTTGTCAGGATGAGCCATCCGTTCAATTCAAACATTCAGACCATTCAACTCGGAAATCAAACCCCTAAACAGTTCATTATCCGATTCGGTTTTAAAAACCTTGGTTCTTGGTGTATTGCCAATAAGGAGAAAAAGCTGTGCCAAACAGTACCACGCACCCTACCCAGTCACAAGGGACATCCTTGACAGATGCACTTAGAAGCATCTCTGACACATCTGAAGAAAAAACCTTGCCTCTGAATCTCCTAGAGAGGAAATTGCAAAGTAATCAATGAGCTTTATTGTCTTAAATTTTCCAGTCTGGATGGGTCTACAACTCATTCTGGAAACAGTAGAGAGAATGTGTTTGAAAGATTCACTGTCTTTGCCCTAAACTCTGAAACTGGGGAAATGGCAACTTAATTCAACCCACCGACCTGTGCAACCATGCATACGAAATTGTTGCTAGAATTCCAGCCAACTGATTCATTCAGAGTTAAAATCATTTTCTCGTTCTAAAATCCGTTTGCAGAAGACGGGATAGGCTCCCCACAGTCCATCCCTCCCGTGAAAGGGGAACATCTCGCCATGACAATAAGTACGGATGGCCGTCCAAACTCTGTTTGCAGCTACTACCAAAGCATACGATGATGTTAATTATATGATCCCTGAAATTGGATATACAAGTAGTATAAGGTCTTATTTATACTATTCTACTACTACTAAACAGATACATAACTTTCCGTAAAAATTATGAAAATTAAATCTAAATACTATATATCATATATGGTAAATACTTACTTGCACAAATACATATCAACTCTTACACTGATAATAATAATTAAAAAAAATGAATTTACTTTCCATTCTTTAAATTTCAAGATTTATATATATTCTTTTATTATGTATTTATCAATCAGATCTAGAATTGGGTTCAATTATTAGAGATCGGATTTAAAATCAATGTTTCTAGACCTGGCCATGATTTGTCAGTTATGCACGTAATACTGTAGCCAACTGATAAATTTTCCAAGAGTGTCCATTAATTTCTCCAATTACTACTTCAAATAGACAGAGCAAGACTCTTAATTCATAGAAATGCAACTTGGGTCCGATTTGGGCTGGAAAATTGTGAATTTTTCAATGTGGGATGCAACAATTGTTTTCTACTGCCCAACAACGCTAGCGATGAAAGGGATAAGATTCATAGAATCATTCTCTGGTTGGTAGTCAGGTCCCACAGACCCATGGCCCTGGTCAACTGGTTGAAAATTTGAAAACCCTTCTCGTGAACTGAAAAGGATTTCTTGGTCTAATATCAACTTCCGGTACCAACTTGGCATGTCCGTCTAAACCTTAAATGCGCACGATAACTCTTGGACAAAACTTTGCAGAGAAAAAGTAAATCTCCTTTACATTTTTTTTTTTTAACTTTTATAAATCAAACCAAGCAAATCGGCCACCTTCGCTTCGTTTATAAATCTTAATGGGTGAAATGAGATGATGTTGTGTTAATTAACAAAGCTTCAAAATTCAAATTTTAAAATTCATTGTATCCAAAAATTGACACTCCCTCTTCTCAAAACCAATCTTGCCGGGGATTCGAAGTTAGTTAGCTATTGAACCTGCCTTGAAGATCATGGTTTTTAAAATCGGACCAGACTGGATGGGCGGACCGGAAAAACCAGGAACCGATCACCCGACTGTTCCATTTTCCCCAAAAACT